TATGTTTTTTTTTCATTTTGCTCTTGAATAATTTGACTAGTGGCAATGAGATCCATCAAAAAAGTTCGAGTTCTCATTCATGTTTTCAGCATTTTTCTCTTGAATTACTCGAATTTGAATGCGAATGTCAGATGCAATTATTTTACAAAGTTTTTCATGTAATTGAAGCAATCCTAGAAGATCATATTGCAATATCCAAAAGCCAGACACAAGTGTCCGAACACGAATACTTCAATAAAAATGAAGATACCGAGCAACATAGCCGATCACTCTATTAAAGAAAGAAAATGTCATACAAAAAGCGTTACAGCTTATAACAAAGGGAAGGTAAACAACAAGAAGAAATAACTCTGCTTCTAATAATGACCCACCAAATCAGTACATATAGATACAGTAGATCCTATCTGTTTAAGAATATATGGTGGAGTACAATAAACATGCTTGTGGAAGCTCTAATACAGACAGGATTCCATTACGGTTCTGCAGCCGGGGTTCGAATGCAGCAAAACCATTTTTTCTGAAAGAAAAAACAGCACATCAGGAGAGATCTAATGCATCCATCGAAGCAACATCCAAAGAATTGGTTATCAACACCATCTAATGCTTGCATTCAGATGGCGAGAGCAACATAAGTTGTTAAAGATTACTTACAGGTCGAGGTTTGCTGGAATCCACTCTGGACTTAACAGCAGGATCAGCCTTTTCTGGTGACTCGGGTTTGCCACCAGTTTTCTTCTCGTCCCTTGCCTTGTTAAAGATCACAGTGAATCCCTCAGCTGATGCAGGATCATTGACGTCCCATTCACCAAATTTTGGCAATGGGCGGCCCTTCTCCTCCTGTTGGGCAAATGGAAAAGCTTATCTTGAAACAAGATAAAAAAATGAATCTTCCTAAAAGTCAAACTTGAATTGATGTAAACTAGCAATCAAAACAATATCCAATCATGGAAATTTAAGCATTCATCGCATCCGTCAAAATAAACATTGTGATAGACCCCATAAAGAACTCTAGTAGCTACAGTTTGGAATGCTATTAAGACCAAGCGAAGACAATGACATGGCACAAATTTTACATTCCTCGTAGCCCCACCATTGCGTGGATGGCAATCCTTGGTAAACATCCGACCAAAGACCGCCTTCTTCGATGAGGATTAATCATTGAAGAGGTATGCCCCTTCTGCAATCTAGAACAAGAATCAAAGGGACTGTGTCTTCTTACTTGAAGGTATTCTAATGGTGTGAGGTGTTAAAACTTTTCCAGATAAAACGAAGAGTGCGCAATCGGGCTGAAGAATTATCATGGGCAATCAACCACATATGCAGCAATGCTTTGATCACCAGTATCTTGCACATTTCTTGGAGCGCTTTCATCTCTTTTCTGTGGAAGGGAAGGAACAATAGGGTCTCCCAAAATTCAGCTACTCAAATCAGTTGAGTTCTTCGACAGATTAGTTAGACAATAGCAATGAGCCATTGAGAGCATTCAACCTTGGCAAAGTTAAGGCTAATAGTGTTAATCTCGCCCCATTATGTTTGCTTGATAGTTTAGGTATGTATTTTTGTAAAACTTTGTAGCAGTTGATCTACTTTTTGGATAGAATTAAACAACACTCCAACAGAAACAACTCCGATTACTCGGTGCCAATCAATCGAATATGAACAGATCGATACAAAATATTCATTTGCTTCAGAATATAAACAAGAGCCATTTACAAATTAAAATATCAAATACTACACAAGTAACAACGCCCTCTACACACTCCTAAGAAAAATCTAATTTTCTTCATATATCAAACTATATTGACTCTTGGTATGTTCTGAAAAGAAGCTTATCATTGTTGATGTAAAACTAGGGGAAGGTAGGTTTGGTGGTGTTTGAAGTAAAGATTCGAACTTGGCTCCCTTCTCTCAAAGGCAGAGAGGTACTCTTCTTTATACTCTACATCCCTAATGCTGCAAGGCGCCAGTGGATTGGCGTATGGTCAAGAGTGGGGTTAGGCCGGCTTAGAGTCTGTTGTGTTAGTTCTCTGTCATACATCCTACTTGGCCAGGGAGGGTGGCTAGGTAGACTAAGCTATCTTGTGTGTCTTGTGCTGGGCGGTGTTCCGATGCGGGTTTCCGCCGAACGTTTGAGCCTGCCGAGGGTGTACTAATGGGCCAGTACAACAATCACAATCCTAACTTTTCAATGACCAGGAACTACATTTCCACACAATTAATGGTACATCAATTAAACCTTCTTAATTCCAATTAGGACCAAGATTCTAAAACAATGCCAAAACAATCACCCATTTGCTAATGAATCCCATTAGAATCAATACCAACTATCCCTCTAGAAAAAACTTAACCATAAATCATGTTATGAACTTATTATACAATAAATTGCTCAGATGGTAGTTAATCAGTTAAATAAAAAAAATCTCAAAGCCAGCTTCAAGTAAACTCATCAAAGAAAAAAAATAACAAAATGAAAAGGTTAAAAATCCCAACCATGAAGATGATACTTGCCCCAAAGAAGAAACTTTGATCAGCAAAAAAAATCAGAAGAATTGTAAAAGAGTAGGAAACCAGAATAAAAAACCCAGAAAGATATGAACGAAAACACACAAAAGCTTAAATCCACAAAAAAGAAGAAAGAAATCATATCAAATAACGAAGTTAAACCTTCATTTTTAACAAATTTAAACAGAAAATCAAAGGAATCAGTAAAGATTACATACCGACATGAATTATAGAGAGAAGAGCTTTAAAAGAGATAAAAGAGATAAATGGAGTGTTTTTCTTAGAGAAAAAAATTGGAAGAAGTGAGATGAAGAAATGTGAACTGAAAGAGAAGAAAATATGGAGCTTTGAGCCTTTGATGTTTGAAAGGAAATAGTGGGTTTGAAAAAACAGCGGTTAGCGTATGAATTTCGCAACATTAATTAGGTTAAACAATAGCATTAGTCATCAAACTTTAATTTTTGTATTGATTTCATCATCTAACTTTGAAACAATTTTAATTTTATCATTAAACTTTTGACGTCGTTAAAAAAATTAAACCATTAAATCATCGACGGTGTGATAAAATGATCATTTTTTTTTATTTTTCTATAAGAAATCATTAACTCCTCTCACGGTTGTAGCGATTTGCACGACACTGGTCGTTATCTACGTTGAGATAGATACCAAAATATTTTCATTCCACTAATCTTTCTTCGTCTAAGATTATTTTTCTACAAAATTCACTAGATTTTACGAAAAATCATCTAAAGACATTTTAATGTTATGACTCCTCCAATAATTATTCAATAAGACTAATTTCGAGATATGTTGTTTATTTTCTTTGAAAAATCTCATTTTTTTTCTATCAAACATCCTAAATCCCTCAAATATTAAAAATCTCTAAATCCCCTAAAATAATATTTTTTAGTTTAATTTTATGAATTTTAAAAATATATTAAGAAAATATAAACTCATAAATTAATAAAATATGATGACAGAACTTTATTTGTGTTCAGACTAATCGCAAAAGACATTAAAAATATTGTTATATTGATAATTAAAAAATGTGAAAAAAATCTAAATTTGATGAATAAGATAATAGAATTAAATAAAAAATTATTATTTTTACTTGCACATCAACCTACAAGTGTTATGACATCAAAATAAATATTGTCAAAATTAAGTGGTAACATGAAGCTTTTTAAAGTTTAGGGAGAATTTTGATGCAAAAGTTAAAGTTTAGTGCTTAACGTTGTAGTTTATCCTATTAATTAAAATTATTTTTAAATGGACCAATGGACGGGCAAAATGATCTGGCAAACGGCGTCGAGGTAAAGTGGACAAGTGATTTGCTGGCACTGTTTTGAAATTAGGAGTTGTAAGTTGCGAGGATTAGTTTACTTTTTTAAATATAATAAAAAAGCATTAATATTTTATTAAATAAAGAAAAAGTATCTAAACTATATAAAATAATATTTATAAAAAGAAAAAAATAATTATATGAAAAAAAAACCATTCAAGTGCATAAACTAATAATCTAAATAAATAAAAACGTAGTGAAATCTTTAAACCCTATTTAAAAAGTTTTCTCTCGTTGTTGCTATTGTTATGTGATGATATTAATTTTAATGTGGTAGTTAATTGTTGATTTTTATTGTTTTTGAGCTTATTTATTAATCGTTTAATCACTTTTTGTTTAATTTTTTAGGGTTAGATTTGTCATCGTTTTGACTGATCAAGATGACATTTATTTGTTATAATATTGATATTCTCTGTTTTAGACCATTTGGTTGGATTTAAATACACGAGTTGCATTCGAATATAGTTTTTTAAACCCTACACCACAACTCTTTTTTATGATTATCGATAGTCTTTCAATAATTCGATCACATAGGTAGTTCATTTGTCATTATAGTCAAATCTTTTCATATTTATCTTTATTTTTTTTAAATGATTGTGGATACTTAAACTTTATTTTTTTTTCTCAAAACTATACATAACCTTTAGTTTAAGGTTTGGTGTTGACGTAATGTCACCTCATCATTCATTGAAAAATGACACGCCAACATAAAAACTAAATTAAACGTTTTACATAATTTAAAAAAATAAAGTTTATCAACAAAATCGAAACAAAAGCAATAATTTAAATATTAAATATTATTCATAATCCAAAGAACAGACCAGCACAACAGTTGAACAAGTCTAGACAAAGCAAAAGCAAACCATAAGCAAAACAAAGAAGCAGGATGAACGTTGACAGAAACAGCAGACTCAAGAACGCTCAATTCCAGAATATATATAACACTCATCAGAAAACTCGAGAAAGATTGTGGATGTCGATGACAGTTCATTTAAATGATTAGTCGAAATCGAAATTTTTCGAATAAATTGCGAGTACAAATATGCCATTAAAACACAAAATGAAGCACAAGCAACCTTACTATTGTTTCTGTTTAACCATACCATTGAAAACATTAAGCAAGAAAGAACATAACCCTAAACTATGATGGATGGGTACTTAATATCATGTTTATCTGTTTATTCAGATTTCATTTGCTTGCCTTTTTCAGTTCATCTTGTTCATTTGAACTGACCGAATGGATCGAAGTTGTTTGTCGAAGCCTGCGGATATGATCCGGCGGCGGCACCAGTAGCATCTCGATTGTATCCACCCGCAAAGGAATTGGCAGCGGTGGTCTGCTGGCATCTAAAAACCCCTGGCGAAATCCCACCGGGAAAGGCGGGGTGTTAAAGGGTGGCATCGTCGTCATCGGTGCATGGCCGTCGATCATCCCACGCTTCAAGATAGGTCCGGAACGGAGTGAAGTCCTGACGTTCTCGGCCTCCCTGTAACGGTTCAAGAAAACAGTGAGCAGCTCGATGTATTCGTCAAAACCCAACTTTCCGATGGCCCAAAGAACGTCCTCGGCGGTGATGGTCTTGCGCTGCTCACGTTGGCAACGCTCGTTGGCTTCGCCGGTGATGAAACTGATGAACTCGGAGACGCATTCTTGGATGGTTTCTTTGGCGCCGTCGGAGATTTTGGCGTGGGGAGGAAGCATGCGGCGCATGATGCGGTTGACGTTGGCTATCGGCATGAATTGATCCTGTTCGCGCACCTCCGGTAGCGTGGGGTTGGATTTGTTGGTGGTTTTGTGGATGGTGTTGCTCCTGCCATTGTTGCCGTTGGAGTTCGAATTCGAAGAGTCCCCATTCCGAAAGATACTCGAACCTTAAGAATAGAGAAACAAAATAATAACTTCATTTTTGTTAATTATTTTTATAAATAAATATATTTAAAAAATGTCATTGGAATATAAAAAAAAAAATACCTATATACCAAATAAATTAAGATAAAATACACGAGAAACCATTAAATTATATTTAAATAATTATTTATTTTAATCACTACTTTTCAAATTTTACAAAATCACCATTAAATTTATCAAAACTTTGTACTAATTATAACGTAACAATTAGTGACGAATCAAAACATATTTGTGAAGCTGAATAAATATGTTAATAACACAAAACTTTTATATGGAATGGGCACAAAAAAAATTTCAGGTGGACACAATCAACAAAATAAATAATAAATTAAAGAAAATATGGTGCCACCCTAAATTTGTTGTATATTCGTTTAGTCAAAATAATATTTTTATAACAATTTAATAAATTTTTATAATTTTCAAAATTCAATAATCAAAACAATCATTTGAACATAATTTTACAATACCTATACATAATATCCTATAAATTTCATTAAATCTTAAAAATATTTAAATATTATCAACAATGTGAATATAGAAAATATTAAAATTAAAAATCTAAAAAAATCTCAAAATAATAATTGGTTACCTTTATAAGTTTCTCTCGTTAAGATCTCATTAATTAATAATTACACGTGGCAAATCCTAAGTGTGTCAGTCCAAGTAGGCAAGAGTTATTAGTTAGGTCCCACTTTTGGAGAAAGGCCCAATGAGATCATGAAAATTGGCCCCACCTTTTACTGTTTAGATTCTTTGTTGGGAGTCCCAAAGTCAAACCCTTTTCCTCAAGTCTCAATCCACAGGCTTTGACCTTTTCTTCTTTTTAATAAAAATATTATATATTAAATTAATTAATATATTTTTGAAATTGATATATATATATATTATATTGTTTATTGAAAAATAATTAATATATATTTGGTAGTTTCAAATTTCAAATATTATATTTATATGTTTATTTAATATAATTAATTTAAAAAAGAAAAATATGTTTGATTATTATATTAGTGATTGTGAGTATGTGTTGATTAATAAAATTCTAAAAAGATATTACTTGTAATCACTCCAAACTATTAAAAAAATTAAAAATCTATTTAATCATGATAACATAAATATAAAAATGAAAATAAAGATTTACTATGAATGATGAAACAAGTTTGCGTGCAAAAAGAAACGAAGAGAGTAACGTTAAATCCAACAACAAAAATTAAAATCTCATTATTTTTTTAAATACTCTTCATGCATGTAATGGATGAAAAAAATATTTGTTCAGTTGTATTTTTTATATAAATATATTTGAAAAATAAAATAAAACTGGAGTTGGAGGGTACTTTACCAGAACTTGATTTTGCAAGCTTGTGAAAACGATTAAATCCATCACCATGTTCCATTGATCTAGTCTCTTCAAACAATTAAAATAAAAAATATATTTAAAATATTTTTGGTGTTGAAGGACTTGAGTCCTTCGAAAGGGCACTTTGAATATCTAGCTTGTGGGGGGGGGGGGGGTTATAGTGCCCCAACACACTCAACTTCACTGGCAAAACCGGCGTTGCTAACGATGGAACTCATTATTGCCGGTCACACCCATCTCATTGGACACTCCCCAATTCCCCTCTACCGGGATTTGCAGGTGGGCGGTGGCCCCTAAAATATCATTTATAATTCATTATGGGATAAGATTATGAATGTTGAAAAAAAAAAGTAATAAGGAGAATCCAGTTCATCCCTCTAATATTAGGTAATATTTTAAAAGTATTAAAAATATATAATGTAAGATTAAATGATGTATCCATTAAAAATATGTAATACATTTATATTTTAACTCATTATGATGAGCATTTTCCCGATATATCACATTTTCCATTTATTTTTCCCTGTCAGGTACCCTTCAGACTATTTTTCTTGATCTAACACCCTTTGCAGTAAAACGCGCCCCCTGCACAGCTTTACTTTGATCTAACGCACTGGGGTAAGGCGCCCCCTAAAGCGCGCCTTATGCTGATTGGGATACACGTGTGTAAGGCGCGGGGCAGGGGCCGTGCTTTACCTGCAAATCTAACACACGTCAGAAAGGATCCCCTGCGGCGCGCCTTAGGTTTAATTACATACCTACCTCGACGTTCACACCCCCTCCCTCCCTATAAATACCCTCATCCTCAATCACTTTCATCACACCAAATCCTCTCAACTTCTCTCAACCTCTCTCAAATACTATATTGGTATATTTTATTATATTTAATATTTTGTATTTAATTTATTTAAGTATTTAAATTATTTAATATTGTATTTAATTAATTTTTTTTGCATATATAAAATGGAAAGTGGTATGCTTCGCTCGGATAGAAATCATATATCTCGACATTTTGCTGATACGGAAAATTTTAACGTTTTAATTTAATTTAAATTATTAGTAATAATTTATTTAATGCATGATTATTAGTTTAAAAATTAATTTTTGGAATTATTTATATTTTAGGAGAGAGACCGTATATTATATCCTTTTATTAGGAACCTTAAGTTAGTGATACATGGTCGTGCCATACTGTATTTAGTAGAGGTTGGATTCGGTCACATAGGTAGATATGAGGGTCACTGTAAGATAGAACCAGACCTTATTGCTGCCTTAGTGGAGCGGTGGAGGCCGGAGACCCACACATTCCATCTTCCGTGCGGAGAGTGCACGATTACACTTGAGGATGTTTTTATGCATCTGGGGCTTCCGGTGGATGTAGATGTGATATCGGGGATAACGCACGGTTCATGGACTGCTTTGTGCCAGGATTATCTAGGACGTGTCCCGGAAAGTTTTAACGATGGTCGGATACCGTTAAATTGGTTAGATGCCAATTTTCGGGAGTTGAGCGAGGACGCCTCTGATGATGAAGTTAAAATGTATGCACGAGCATGCATAATGCAGCTGATAGGAGGGTTCCTGATGCCGGACAAATTGCGTAACCAAGTTCAATGTATGTGGTTGCGATATCTTGGCGACTTTCATCTGGCTGGATCACTCAGTTGTGGCTCGGCAGTTTTGGCTTTCCTGTATAGGGAGATGTGTCGTGCGATTGACTACAGAAAAAATGGTATCGGCGAATGTCTCATGCTGCTGCAATCTTGGGTGTGGTATCGATTGCCCTTATTATGTCCAATTGTCAAGAATTCATTCGTATTTCCACTACTGTTGAGGTAATTATAAAACTGATTTCGTATATTAATCATTTTATATAGTGTATAATAAAAAAATTCCTTGAATAGGTGGTCTTCTGATAGGAAAAATGATGCAGGGGGATTCAAGACAGATGATGCTGAGCTGTCAGATTGCACCTTGATGGCGCTGAGATACCATGAGTTGGCAGATCAGCGCAAAGGCGGGAGTTGATTGTGATATGTTACTCATTGGGGCCGTTTTGAGTGTGTTTCAGTCTTTTGGCCATAACTTTGGCTACAGGTGTCGGAATCGCGCATAAGACCCCAATTCAGAAAGCCCCTTTCAACGCGCACGCTGTCCATATTGAGCCGTTTTCCTCCGAATCTCTAGTTTAATTTATTTTTTACTATTTATGGTAATATTTCGCTTGTCAGTTAGGAAGTCATTTTAAATTCGATTTGGGCCAGATTTTTTGCAGATTGCTTAATTTATTTCGAATTTCAATTTAGAGTGATTTATGAGATTTTGCTATTTTTGGCAAAATTCGGATAAAGATAATTTTTGGCTATAACAGTCCGGCTTGTGGACTGATTTTTGCATTGTTTGATTTTACCCTAGAGACTTTTTCTCTAGTTTTTGGGCAAATTTTCTCTTGTGAATCATCTGTTGGAACTAGCCTGCAGGATAATCTCTATTCTGTCTGGCGTCAAAAATATCATCAAGAGCTACATGATGATTTAGAAAAAATCAGGGTGATAATCGATCAGAAGGCTGGCACACAGGTATGCCTTTTAATGTTTAAAAATCGATTTTAGATTATAGTTGTATAATTATATTATTATTTTGATAAAAATTATATATATTTGTTTTAGTTTGAATGTGCCATATTCTAATGATGATGTGAGATGGTGATCCTACATGAGTTGAGGGGCCCATTAGATGTTTGGATGGCGATGGTGTTGAAAACATTTTGATGTTTCGATATAATAAATTAAGTTTAAATGAATTTTAAGATTTTATAAATGATTTTCTAAGTATATTCGATTCAATTAATCGATTATCAAATTATTATTCCAAATCTTTCAAGATCAATTTTAAACCTTACTAAATGTGTAAAATTGTGTTTTATACTTAATATATCTTTGAAACAACTTTCACAGGCATGCACCGATGCATCAAACTATGCATCGATGCACTGATGATTTAATTGAACATCGAATGCATTTGATGCATCAATGCACATATCATGCATCGATGCACTCAGGGTTTTATAAAAACATCGAATTCATTTGATGCATCGATGCACATACCATGCATCGATGCAC